GCGCGTGTCTGCTGGGGCTGGCCGTCTGCCGGGGCTTGCCCCCGGCTCGTAAGGGGTGAGGTGTCCCGCAGGACCGGGAGGAGCGTGACGCTGTCTGGGGACTGAAGGTGCAGATGCTGTGCTTGGGAACGGCAGGGTGAGAGGGAGGGGGAGGTACCAGGGCCCCGGTGAAGCCACCGACCTGCACGTAACGGCTGACCGCTGGTGGGCGACCCCTGTGCTTCCTCTCTCGGGCAGCATACGGGCCTGGCACGTTTTGTGCTGGAACTCCAGTAAAAGGCCAGAGAAAATCGCTGTGACTGGGTGAGGCAGGAGCAGCGGGCAAGTTGCACGAAGCCCTGCGCTCAGAGAGTTTGACTAGGTGTTATGGCATTGTTACAGCATCTTACTCTGACCATTTCTTCATCATATGAGCAGGAGGCTCCAAAATGCCTTGCCCACACATGTTGCCTGAGGCAAGGGCTCATAGCCTCTCTCAAAGGCATCTGAGGGGTTTAGAGAAGAGGCTGAGAAGTCCCCAAAAGGCAAGAGCAGGAATCCTCTAGCCTGCATATAACCTGAGCACTGGTGATCCCCGTGCTTGCCACGCTCTAGCGTCTGTATCTCCGGCTCTGTTCACCCAGTTGCTCAGACAGTTCAAGTTCAGTTTCAGCAAGTGGCTGCCCTCTGGGGAAGCTCAGGGGAGGAAATCAAGGCAAACCGCTCCTACAGAAATAAGTCCATGAGGGTTGTAAGTGTCTCAGGAGAGCGAACCCTGGCTGGTCTGGCCTTCTGAGGTGCTTCTGCCTCCCCTCCTATCTCTGCCCTAGCATGGGAGAAACTGTGTCTTTGCTCAAGTCGCCCTTGCTTAGGCTTGTTTCTCTCTCCCTCCATTCATGGCTAGCAGAGAGAGATCAGTGCTGACAGGGAGACTAGTGCTCTCTTGCACAGTTGCTATGGTGCCGCAGGCTCCTACTGCCTACCTGTTGCCTTTTCCAGATCTGTCAAGGGACAGGGATTAGTGCAAACGTGGCTGTGACACAAGTTAGTGGTACTTGGTCACGGGCACCACTGAACCGTGCTCAAGGTCTTTGGTAGAGACGTACAAGTCAATCAGGAGAACATTAAATAAAGGCATTTTAAAAGCAGACACTTGACACCTACTTGCTGCCCTGAGGTTTTTTTATGCAAGTGGTTAGCTGTGGCTAGGAGCCCTGCAGTTGTCAGCTATACCTCAGTGTAATTTTATACACAGGAATATTCACCATGTCCTGTTCCTTTGAACTCAGTCAAAACAGCAAGCTGTTCCTTTGCTCAGAAATGTAGCTTTGTTCTCCCCGCTTAACTATTCTCTTGCACATCACAAGACAAGTCCAACATCCACTAAAGGTAGTGGAAAGGCATGGATGGTTTTCAATGGGGGTTAGATCAGTGTTCAGATAAATGCACAATTCAGTAGGGCAGGCTTTAACTGCTTCTCTTGTTAGTAATGCAAGTGTTTACTCAACAGAGAGATTTGATCTTTATTTTTAAATGATTTTCAAGTTCAGAAAAGATTTGAACTGCGTGCCCAACCAAGAGTTTGTATCTTCTTTTGCAGGAAAAGGCTGAGAAACTTACTGTGCCAAAAAGTATAAAATTGTGGGTTTCAGCAGATCCTTCGAACAGAGGCAATAATTAAAGTTGTTGTGAACATTGTATAAGGAGAAATCCATTCATTTTTTCTGAGAATGCCTTCCACTGCTTGTACGCAGTGTTCAGCCTCTTCAAACAAGTGTCCTGGAAAGACTCAGTGTTACTCATGTTGGTCTAACGGGGTCAGCCAGACAATACAACAACGCCTTGACGAAGCATATACCAAGCTACCTACCTTTCATACCCACCCTGCTCTATGAGGTGGATGTGGAAAACCTACCTGCTCTGGGCTTAAACTCTCAGATGTGCTCCGAAGGAAGAATTGAGTGTTTCACTTCTGAAACAGGTCTGCGCCCTCCCCAAGTAAAGCTGACAAGGTAGACAGCATCACTTCTCAGCCCACCAGTTGAACTACACTGTGCCAGAGCTTTGTCTCGAATCTTGATTCTCAGAAGTTTTTCGAAGTAGACTGCTATTAGTAATGACACTTGCAAAGGCCTTCTTGTTTCTTGTTGTTTTTCAGGGTATCTTTGCTGCATAGTTGATTTGAGAGACTAGCGATCACATCTGACACACAGATGAGCCAGGCGGGAGCCCATGAATAGTCCTGTTACAAGAAGGCACCTTTCCTGATGCTGTGCTTCTCTCTCTGTATCACAAGGGCTTATCAGGCCTTGTGCTGCAGGGAGCTAAGATCCTCACCCAGGAAACAGTGGAAGAAATGGCATTAGCTATGGACAGACCATAGTTTGTCCTTCTGAAACTATGGGAAAGCACTGGGAGACCATTAGCACTGGAGTAACTTCACTGCGAGAGGAGGCAAGTTGCTCTGACTTGGTGGAGCAGTCTGTGTGTGTATGCATATATATGTGTATGCATATACCCACCAGTTTTTATTCCAAGCCTGACCAGGTAGCCTTAGCTTAAAGTACTTGAGAGACAAAACTAAGTGAACAGCCTGGGTTAACTGTGTGGTGAGAATGTACCCTCAGATCTCTTACTTCTCTTATTTGTCAGGTTGTGGATAATTTTGAACCAGCTGAGTAGTTTCTCTGTTTGCTTTTATTTTTTTCTCTTTTTCCTCTTTTTCTACTGTCCTTTCTGGGCACACAGAGTGATTTTCAGGTTTTCTTCTCTATTGCTAAGAGTTTTTTCACAAAACCTGCTAATTTGACCAGGCCTAGAGCTGGGCTGAAAGAATAGGCTCTTTCTGGTGGGCTGCCTTACTCAGCTCCTCAGGTGGGATCCCAGCTGCTCAGGAAACAAGATGAGCTCTTGCTCCTCCCCTTAGTGATTTAGTGTGAGTCTGGCAAGAGAGGAGAAAGCAGTATAGCTTTTGTCTTCCTGAGAGTGATAGAGAGAACTACCATGCAACTGTAAAAAAAGGGACTTCCTTTTCATCTGTAATGCAGTGCCTAGCCTGTGACTTAAGAGAAGAGTGGCCCTGTGCTGCAGCTGGATTTCCTTGGCTTGGAAAGTGGAAAGGAAAAATATGTTACCTGTAGCTGGAGGTAAGAAAGTAAAAAGCCAGGGTAGGAGCAGAGGTGAGTGTGGTATGGGATTGATGAGGGAGGGAGGTGGGTAGAGCCACTGGTCCACGTGGAAGTGGGGATGGACCAGAAGCAGGTGATGGGGCTGATAGCAGGGAGACCATGAATGGTGCAATTGCTTTACTTGTTGCTTTTGGAAGAGCTGGCTGTGGTAGATGTGTGCACATTGGAGATAGGGCATGGAGAATTCCAAAGTCAAAAGACTAACTAAATGCATCGCTCTGTAACAGAAACAGTCATCTCCTTCCATGCAGACAACTCACCTGTGCTTTGTGTATCTCAGCCTGTTAGTTGTTTTCTCCTGTGTAACATCAGTACTTGTTCTGTCCTTTCCTCCTGTGCTCAGTGCTTGTTAAATAGATGTTCTTGGGGCCTCATGTCACCTTACTAGCTGAAGCTCTCACCTCTTTGCCAGCTGTTCTGCACAATAAGTTAAAAGTCATTGTTCTTACTCTTAGGGTCTTGCTCTAGTGCCCCAAATCCCTGCTGGTCACAGCTTTTTCCCTGCATGCTCCTGCTTTTGTTTCTTCCTGTGTGTATACATCTTTCCAACTTCTTGTTCCCTGCTTCCTAGGGAAAGGGGATCTTTTCATGGAGCCATCCAAGAAGTGAGCTAAACTTAATATAGGAATAATAAATAAATTCAATAGAATCATGATAATATGTGTGCACTTGAACTTAGTAACTGGCTAGCTACTAATTTGCTTCTACCTGGCTCTTCCGCTTTGTTTTGTTACTTTTAATTAGTGTATAACAATTAAGATTAGATACTGTTTTCCCAGGTGAGATAGGTAGCAGCAAGACTAAGCTGTGCCCCATGATAAATAATTTACTTATGCCCGCCCCCCCCAAGAGACAGCTGTTCTTCATTTTTGCAAGACAGCTTAGATCCAGATTGTTTCATTGATGCAGTTGTAAGTTATCAGACTTGATGACAGAGTCCTCAGTATAATTGTTTGTGGCTTCTACTGCAGTTATTTCCTTAAGCTGCACCCCTGGCTCACTGTCTAAAAGTGAGGGCTGAGGGGTGTCTGTACTTCCTTGACTTTCAGAACTTGAGCAGTCCTTTTCAGTCTGTTTCCCTGTAGTTTGGTGGGCAGTTGCTGGAAAAAATGTGATGTGTTGTGGCATTTTGTTCAGTTCCTCTTCCCTAAAGAACAAACCCAGCAGTGCTTTCTAATGAGGGATGGAAGTAGGTATGTGTCAAACACATGCAGCAGTTCTTTCTATCTTTCTACCCAAATGTGATCAGAATGCTACACCAGTTAGCACTGAATTTAGTCAATTTATTCTGGTGTCTGTGGAAGAAGCATCTTTTGCTGTGGGGGGGTGGGGGAAAGACTGCTCCAGAAGTTTCCTCCGTTATGTGTATTTTTAGAGTAATCTTCCAGGCTTTTGGCAAAAATAAACCTGGACTTCCAACATCTATGAGGTGAATATAGGACTCACTGCACTGCCATTAATCAGGCTTTGGTAGTAGGTTGTACATAAACTGTCTGCATTAGCTTGATTTTGTAAAAAGTAGAGGGTTTTAGGTGATAAAACAAACACTGGGAAAATACACAGCAGAATTAGATGACCTGTTTTTTCACTTCAGAAGGAGTCTTCACGTCCTTCACTGTAAAAATCACTCACTTCCTTGTTTCCAAACAGAATTTTTTCCAGCCTAGCTGGTGGTCTCTTCAGTGTCTTTTCCAGGACATCTCTCTGTGGAGACATAAAAAGTTTTCAGCAGAGTATATTTTGATGTTGGGGTGACACTTTACTGCTTGCCTTCTGCTTTTTTTTTTCATGGATGAAAGGGATGGACTCTGACACAAATGAAAGCCTAGAAATAATCATGTGCTAATAACCTCAGTGCTCACTCATGAGTGAGTGTTGTCTGCAGTGAGAATTCCTGTCTTCTGCTGAAGGATGTGTCTGTGGAGCTTGCAATGTTTCTGTACACCCGGCAGATGTGGGGATTTGGTAATGAGGCCCCAAGTATTTAGGGAAGTTACTTTATTACTGCTGAAGAGATTTAAGAATGGTTCTGTTAGAGCTTTGTAGTCACAATACTGTTGGCCTCTGCTGCATACAAATGAGCAGCCCAATCCTAGGCTCTGCTGCTGAGGGTAGCACTTACTCCTGGAAAGATGCAGTGATTATTTGATCAGGCAGCAGGCTGAATTCTACTGTTTTCTGTATGATAAGCAGTTTTAGCAGTGTTAAACCCACACCAAGGACCTCGGGTTGAAATAATCACTATCCTGTTACAAGTTTCCTGAGCTATCTGCTCCTCAGACTTTTATCACCATAAATAACTAGAAGTCAGGCCTCGCTGCCAAAAGTGTTAAGTGCTGCAAATAGTATAGAAGATGACTCATTTAGTGAGATGAAGGTGGAGCATGAATCAGTACGAAGAAAACTGATATACAAAGGAGATGTTTTGAATGCAGATGACACACAAAATGTGAACAAAGCAATGTTCAATCGTCATAAAAATGAAATAAAAGACTTTTTAAAAGGGAAAAAAAAAAAGAAACTCTTTATCTAATGACAAAGGCCACTCTAGCAAAAGCCCAGAGGGGGAAGGTATTGCACGCTGATCATGTCGTTCCTTACCTAAGATAAACTGTGTACTGCATAGGAAGAGATTAGTGGAAAATTCTTCCCAATATGTCCAAACTAAACAGAGTATTCAGCAAGTGGGTTGCTTTCCAGATTGTTCTGTGTCTATATAAGCTGAGAAAAGAACTTCAAGCTAACCAGTTTGGAGAGATTAAGAGTCCTCAGAGCTTCAATGAACCCACACTGAAAAAGCAATGGAAATGTGTGCATCCCTTGTAAATGATAAGTCATTGTAAGTGGATAAAATTCCCATAGACTATTCCATTTGAAATGACAGCTTTTGGTCCTTTTGCTTAGTGTTGGCCTTTAAAGGTAGACTTGGAAAAATGTACCTGATAGATGATATCCTACAGCTGCTGGTGCGCTAGTGAACTGAAGTGTCCAGTGCTGCCTGTAATTCAACTCCTGCCACTTTGTGGGAGTAGGGGTGTTTATTAAGGATTAAATATTTTCAGGTTTGACATCAGCTCTGATTCTTTGGACGTTAGGAAATGTTCTTCGCCAAGAGGCGGTTGGTCACTGGAACAGGCTCCCCAGGGAAGTGGTCCTGGTCCCAGCCTGTCAGAGTTCAAGGAGCATCTGAACAATGCTCTTAGCCATATGGTTTAGTTTAGGTAGTCCTGTGAGGAGCAGGGATCATCCTTATGAGTCCCAACTTGAGATACTCTATACAATCTTTTAGAAGCACTGGAGGGAAAAGTCGCAGGTTTTTTTCTTTGTTTGTTTTGTTTCTCCCCCTCTCTTTAAATGCTGAAATGTAATCATGCAAACTCTGGATACTTCTATCTTAGGTGAAAGCTCTGGCTCTGCTAGCGTTTTAGTAAGAGGCACTGTTAAAATTGTAGAGGCTGCTTTATCCTGTGACATGTATCGGTCTTCCTTGGCTTTGTTACGCTAGACCCATAAAATGTTGCTCTCAAAAGTACTGCTCCTTTAGAGCTGTAACACTTAGAAACAGGTATAACAAGGCATCTTAGCCTGTACTGCTTCGAGTTCCTTTGCTCAGGATAAAGTGAGGGATGGTTAAAAGACTGAAGGCTTCTAGCGTAGCTCTTTCACAGTGTTGGCAGTGGCAGGAAATACAGAAAAGACAGGTAATGCTGCCAAGGCTTAAGGGATGCAGATATTTATATGGAGCAGAACGATGCACAGGGAAGGAAAGCTCTTGCAAGGCTATCTCTATCTCCAACGTTATTGTAAAAATAATCTCAAACCTGATTGTACTCTTTATTCATAGTGCTGTGAGGTCTATCAGCTCATTTCCTCATTGAAGCTAGTGCTGGACTGAAATTTGGCATAAAGCTATTTATAAGTATTCCTGGTCAATTCCAAAATTTTGGATGTGAATTTAGCTGTGTTAATGCTCAAAATCCAGAGCTGTGTGTTGTAATTTGGAATATGCCTGGGTAACAAACTTTTTCTACTGTGTTTGTGTTCGGTGCATTTAGTCCCTCTATTCATAGGTAATCTGCTGGATTTGAGCTCTAATGGAATAAATTGTTCTTACAGGAGGTAGCACAGGCCAAATTTTCACTTGCTACTAAGGGACAGCTAATAGTTAACAGCTAGTGGCAGATTTATGTTTTCACTGGTAGGTTATCCAGCAGTAGGCCCAGCTCAAATGTAAACTATCACTTGGAAAAGTTGACTTTGTTAGTGAAAAGTATGAGGTTCATTTTTTTAAAAAGCTGTACTGATTTTTAAGACAAAAAAAAAAAGTGCCTTCCTCCTGGGACGATAGAAATTCTCTAAGGAGAAATAGCACCGACTGAGTTTGTCAATAAAAGAGTATGTGTAATTTAATATAAGACAGGTTTTTAATACAGGAGGAAAAGAACAGACACTCACCTATCTCATGAAGGGGAAAGGTACAAAAACCTGCTTGCAGTATGTTACCTGAATTTAGCCACAGAGGGGATAATCCTCTCGGATATTCAAAAATCTGTCTGAGGGAGGTAAGTGAAGGCTATGGGGAAGCTGTACTTGGAGATCCTCCAGCTCCATTTTCCGAAGTGCTGGCAATAGGAAATGTGTTAGGCAGCACCACTGGCCAGACTGTAAGGTGGCAGTTGCTTTTTTTTTTTTTTTTGGCCCTTCTTATGAAAGTTTGTGTTTGATCTTCAATAATCTAAGTGGCTGAGGTTAAAGGTGTGTGAATGGCTTGCCTTAAATGACAAAGCTACTCAGAATCATCCTTGGTTTGAGCTTGCGTTGTTCCTGTGCTCCAGCAGTGGTGGGATCATGCTTTGGACAATCAAAATCCATAAATGTGTTAAACTTCTTACAGACTCGCTCCTGACGTCTGTACTTGAAACCCTGTCTGGAAGAGGCATCTGATCTTTAACACAATGCTCGTCAATGAAAAAATAAACTCGAGCTCAGAAGCCAAAATAAACCTCAGCTTATCATTCAGAATGAAAAGACAATGGACACTAGCTTCTTAGTCAAATACCAGTTCTGTAATTTTTTTTAAAAATACATTTGGTAATGGTTTCTTAGTCTGAAGATCAAATGTGAATTGTAGCTGTCTCAGAAGTGTGAATATTTAGGATTTCTGAGGTCCTAATTTAAGTGGAATTATAAGCCCTGGCAGCAGTATTTCTTCTAGTTTCATGGACTTGAGAAACAAGTTTGTGGCATGTAACTTCCAGTGAGTTTTTCAAAGAGCAAGTTCTTAGTACAGTTGCTGTCTCCTTTGTCCCCATTTGAAACAAGCGCAGAAGCTGTAAACAACTGAAAACTGCCACCAGCTTCTGTTGTATGAACATCCCCGTAATACCATTCTGTTTTTAACAGCTTGCTTCTGCAGTCTTAGAGGAGATATGCTTGGATGCTTTGGATGTGCAGAAACTGAATCTCAGGGTGCTCACAGCAGGGTCAGAGCTGTAGCAGGGGTCCTGACTCATATAATGACTCTTACCTTGTTTTCATACACTTCTCCAGTCCTGGCAGTAGTACTTTGGCTCTTGATTATTCCCTGTGTCTTCAGCTCCTCAAGAATGTCTGATGAGTTTTGCCTCTCTGTTTCCCGTAAGGGCCATGATTTACTGAACTCACTGGTGAGTGGTGTGTCTTCAAAAGATGAAAACATTAAAACTTAATATTTGTAGAACACTTGGCATTCCAACAAAACTGAGATGTATGTCCAATGCCAGAATTTTTATTTAGAGGTTCATACTGAGAACGTCCAGTGGAGAAGGCCTGCTCAAGGCTCCCTTCACTGCTTAAACTTTGTAGTAAGCTTTTTAGTGGCTTTGAAAATGGTGGAGGCACTTAGTTCAGTTTCTCGTTGTAATCTATTACACCCAGAGGTGCATGTTCAGGAAAGCTTGGAAGCACGTACTGAAGGCCTGTGAAGGCAATTTTTGATCATGTTCCCAAAGAGGGTCCACAGTGAGCCCTTTACAATTCAAGGGTTCTGTGATCTGCTCAGAGAAAGTCAGGCTGGGACGGGATAGTAAAGCCTACTAATGGGCTGTCTTGTAAAGATCACTATGTTCTTCTGTTAAATGAACCCAAATTTTCATATGCCTTTGTGGTTTATGACTTTTGTTGTAACAGCATTGCTACATTGGACTCTGATCATAAGCATTCCAACACTTAATTATATATTTATAAATAGCAATTGAGAATAAAAACCAAATTATTTTGATAACCCTTCTGAGTGGCTGTTTAGTTTCCACATATTAGACATGAATAAACAATGAACAACTTTATTGCCAGGACCTATCAGGTTTTTCAGCTCTCAGTTGACAATTCTACCATCTGCCCAACCTCTATTGGCAGCAGTTAGAGCTTTTATACGAAGAATGCTTGGTCCAGATAAAAATCGCAGTTATTTGACATCTGCCAGTCTTTATAAGCAGAGTGAGTATGACAATGTTGGCTTATTTTTTAGTTGTAAAACAAAAATACAGAACATCTACCACCTTGTCGAAGCTGACTCTGTGCCTCTCCTAAAATAACTGAACCAGTTACCCAAAAAGCACTGAGGTTCAGCTGTCAGTCAGAACATGTAAATGTCAGAAGCCAGTATACAGAAAAACATATCTTAGCAACAAATAAAAGCTTGATGAGTGGGCAATGTTGACAAGTGATATGAATATCTATTGGTTTTACTAATCTATTCATTCAGGGGAAAAATGTAGTTGAAATAGCTTGGTATGGTATGGGTGTTTTTTTTCGTTTTGAAACGGAAGATTGAAGCATGATATCAAAAACTTTCTGTTTAGAAATTTCCTGTGAAGTTATCTTTTAGCAAGTGGGAGGAAAAGGAGCTTGAAATGAAAGGAAACGCCATTTTGGAGCAAGCAAATAATTTCGTTCAATCTGTAAGGAAATCTTTTTATCGCATCCTTCTATGGCATTGGGAGTTAAGTCCTCTTTAATGAATAGCAAACACCAGTAATTATTACTTTTGTGTTCAATTTGAAATATTTTCTTACAACCCTTGTTTATTACAAAGGGTGAACAACCACTGTAGATTTTCCATTTAGTGTGTTTTGTGAAATGTAAACTGTTCATGGCACTTGAAAAAGATGAGAGTTAAACTACAAAATTAGGGGTTTAAATGCACCAGAGATGGTGCTGCTTTTCCATTAGCAACTCTTACTACAATGTTATCCTAAGAATATAGAGAAGTTTGGATTTAAGTGTTCACTTGTACTTAAAAAAACAACCCAAGAATAAAAATTTCCTAGCAGACCTTTGCTTATCATTGTGATGTCTTCTAGAATTCTTATAGTTTTCTCTATGATAACTGGCCCTGCAACTTTTGGTTGCAAACTTAAGGAATAACATGCTATTTACTTACTGTCTCTACCTGATGCTAGTCAGGGGCGTTGTATTGACCATTCTGTTGTAAAAACTGACTCATTGTAATGGGAGACTGACAACCCTTGCACGGGCAATGTGTCTTCCCAGTGTGCTGTAATCCCAGTCAGAGAGGGCTACCCCTGGGGATGAGGCTGAGTTTGTTCTCTTGGTCGGTTCCAGGTGTCTGCCAAGAAAAGTATCTACCCTGCTGCCTGTTCTGGTAGTGAGGGTTGAGTCATGCTGTAGAACATAATAATCAGCTAGGAAATACTTTCTGCTACTATTGCACGGTTTTAAACCAGTGTGAAGAGCTCAAGCCCTGCGGTGTCACAGCAGAAATGTTTCTGGGTATAGAAGCTGGCTGGAGAAATAGACTCTCAAGATTATTTCCTCCTAGGTCTCGGTTTATGGAGCTGGTATGAACTTCAGTTACTGTTTACCTGTGCTTTGTGCATTGCTGCTTTTCTGAGAAGATGTAAATCTTTCTAGTAGTTCGTCAGGGGAGTCTCCCTCACTGGTCTCCTCTTCAAGTTTGGCTCCATCCTTTGAAGGGCCCATTGGCCAAGCTGCCCCATCCTGTGAGGGGGCAGCCTCTGTTCCAGCAATGCTGTCATTTTTAGTCTACAAGAAAATTAAGAAACAAATGAGAAAAGCTCCTTGGGCTTCTAAACATTTAAGGTGGTATCTAGAATAGTCCCATAGAATTGGCAGGGTCAGGGTGGCATGGAAGACAGAGTAATTTCTAATACTTATCTGTGTTCTGTCACAGGTGGATGTTAAGGGTAAGGAAAGGTCTCTTGGAGCATTTTGGAAAGGAAGCAATGACCTTAAGCCTAAATGTGTCCATAACCCGGCTGGAGTATGATTTCAGTAGTTTAAGTGCCTTCTGCATGCAGATCATTGGTTAGAAATTTAAAGCTGAGTTTTAAATTAGCACTTGGTATGGTGTTAACCTGTGTACCTTCTGAACAATAGCTTTGAACCTCCAAAGAATGCAGGATTAGAGCCTAGGTGTATTCTTGTCTCTTCTCTGTATGTTTGGGCTTGAGCCAGTTCAACTCTTGCAAACTTCACAAAGTGGCTGTGCACATGTACCCTTTTGTATTTGCATATATACAAGCCCCCTGCCTCATAATAACTTTGTGAGGCAAAACCCACCTTGCTACAGTGTTGTAACTCATTGCAGGTGTGGGAGATAAGTGCCTCTAATTGTGTCTGTAATGAGGCAAGTGGGACAGTGAAGAGCAACTTTCAGGTGCTGTAAAATCAGATCATGCATGTGGCCAACTGGTGAGTCTGCTTCCCCCTGTAGCATGAGGGTTGTATTAAGCTGAGTTAAGCTGTATTAAGCTCTTAAAGAGCTCGCTGACAGAGTCAGAGCTACTGTTAACATCAGCAAAACCATTTCTCTGTATGTGTACGTCCTTGTATGCTCATGTGCTAAGACATCTCCTAACATACTTTACATGGAGTCTGTTGGGAAGAAGTCACTACCTGGCTTTTGGCTTCCTGGTGGTTCTGCAGCTCCTCAGAAGACAGCTGGGTGACAGCAACCCTGTTGGAAATATTGCAGCCCATGGTGAAATTGTGACCACCTGCTTCTCCTTGCTGGAAGTCCAGGAA